TTCACAATGCAGTCATTTTTACTGCTTTGGGCAATATAGGTATATATTAAGTTTCAGTCTTTCTAGTGTTAAAATTGAAGAAACGTTTCAGTGTAACTCTCGTAGAAATTAAGGCCTGATTTTTATACATAGCTGTTATATAAATTGGAATCTGGTTTTTCTATATTGTTTTCATTTGATTTTGTATGAGAAGAGTGACTCACCGCGTCGAAATCGGATATAACTTCATTGAGGAACCTGAGACACTCGAGGCCCTGATTGTTGATGCTCTCCTCGCTATAAAAATCGGCGAAGTTGGGCATGCTCGCGAAGAGTACGCCGACCTCCGCGTAGCTCTGGCTGTAGAGATCGTCGTGGTGTCTCGCCCTGGAGAGGAAGTAAGCGGCCACGTGCGGCGGTAGAATGTTGTATATAAGCGCGCCATTCCTGCGCTTCATGTCTGCCGCCCTTTCCCTCTGCGCTACCACCTCCCTACCGCGGAGGTACAACATCCTCCTCGACTTCTCCGCCTGGAAAATCGATATCATCGTGTCCCTGTTACTCGCAGCCGCCGACAACTGGTCGAAACCTTTTACAATGTTTTAAAAAATTGTTTATTATTAGACAGACCTACACGCGCGCTATAGTAGGTTTCAGCGTCGATAGTCATTGCCTGCCAACTGGAAATAATACCTTTTAGGCGAGATCAACTTGGCTTCATAGAAATTAAACTCTAATCGAAAAATAATTCAATCGAAACAAGAGCAATTATTTAAATTCGTTATATTAACCAATTCGCTGCCAAGGACGAGTATACTCGTCTTTGGCAGGGTGTCACGCATTGCCAGGACGAGTATACTCGTCCTGCTTTAAATATATTATAACATGCAGGCTCTTTTGAAGGCCCATTGCCAACGACGAGTATACTCGTCTTCGGTTTTCTGCTTCTAAATGATTATGTATGATAATATATGTGCTCTTACCAAGAAATAACTTGGCAGCGAATGGGTTAAAAGGTGCTATTCATTTAGGTTTTGATGAAATTCATTATTCCTGAAGAGCGTAGAATAAATAAAATAAGAGTTGTTCAAATGCAATTTAATTCCTCTCTTTTATTTGTTTATTCAATCACCAACAGCTGACACTGAGAAATAAAAATTTCAGCATCCTCATCTGTCGAGGCAACGCCACTCGACTTTGATCGATTTTTATTTAACGAAAAATTGAAATTCATATTCACGTTCTCAGCTCTTTAATCCAATGAACAAACACGTAAATCAATAGATACGCTGGATTAATTCTGTCAATCCAAGTTTTACACAGATCAATCCTGCACGAAATGTGTCCGGTACTTTAAAACAAAAATAAAAGTGAAAGAATATCAACTCGTTTGTTATCGATTCGCACGCGAGCGCGATTCTTAACTCGCCACGTGGCCATATAATTGTCAAAGTTTAAAGGTCATACGGTGGACAATATTTTTTTCGTAACACATTTGAGTGCAGCAAATTTTTTGAAAGCTCTCAAACACATAATCGATTTAGTCCAATGAAATTAACTGATACGTTCTTTTTATTTATAATAATGATACGGCCTTTGCGTTTACAAAAATGCAATACCATTTGGAACATGTTATCAGGTTTGATGTCAACATAGTATTTCTTTTCATTTCACCGTTTCTATAAGTGGATAAAGTTAGGTCAATAGTTGGATAGCATGTTGTTGTGTCGACCGTGATTCACATGTCTATATTTAGATCATGTTAAAAATGTAAAAGTCAGTGATAGAAATGAGTACTTACGTATCTGGAGACGAAGACCAAACAGGTGGCGACGATAAGCAGTGTGGAGGATAGGCAGTATGTCGACGGAACTTTCGGCTCCGGGGGCGAGGAGGCGTAGTCCTCCCAGTCGAGCCTCGCTTTCAGACGCCACATGTTGATGAGACACTGAGTACCGGCGATGAAGTACATTATGCAAGCCTTTCCCAGATAGCACATGTAGGTCGGCAACGAGAGCGCGATTAACGTCAACACGCCGATGTACGAGTAGTACGACGGGTGCGGGCACCTCGTCGACAGGGGCACGTTGGACGCGTTCAGTGGTGGTATCGTCTCCTCAATCACCACACAATTGTACTACATAAAATAGAGGTTTGTGATAAATTAAACTTCCAATCAATAATTAAAGTGATATTAAAGATCCAATGTTGAAAATAATGTTTATTGATGGTCAAAGAATCATTTGGGAATTAAAAGTAAAAATTGAATTGCTGTTAAAACTTGATGAATAATAAACGCTGACGTACCATGTCAAGAATGAGGAAATCCCCGAGGGAGAAGATCATCAACACAGCCAGAGCTCGCCTCAACCACATGGCTTTAATAGCACTGCCCAAGCAAGTGGCACCAGCCAGGACTATGGCGAACAACACGACAACTCCTATACCGCCCCAAGTAAACGGCCCCCAGGGTTGAAACCTCCAAACTGGCGAGGCGCACATCATCACCAATGGTCCACCGATCAATGACAACGGAGAGAATGCTTCCTCGGCGTTACGAAACGCGAATTCTACCTTCTTGTCTTTGAATTGCAGCGTCAGCCAGTAAGCGTGCCCTTCCAGGTGCGATTCCCCACCTGTTTTCCATTCATTCGCATGTTTTTAATGAACAGTATGGGATTTTATTATAGATATTTCTACGTCAATTTAAAGTGAATCACTAAAGAACGTGCACGCTTACTTTTGCTGTCCAGTTCCTTTCTCAACCTCTGCCGGAATTCCTCGGTATCTTCCGTGTTCTCTTCCTCGTTCGCTTCCAAAGATCTCCTATTCTCCGCCTCTGTGAGCGACGCCAGGCTCCAGGTGACGGATGGCTTGAAGGGTTTCAATGCACGTACTATGAAGTAGGTGATGATGCCAGCCTTTTGCAACGCCTCCTCTCTGTCCTCGCCGTGCGCCGGCTCGACCTCGAACTCGCCGTTCAGAAAGCCCAGCGTCACGTTCGAGATATGCACCCTCCTTTAAATACCACCATTCACTCACTCGTTATTCAGTTTGTTAAATAAATACAGCAGGATAAAATTACATATATTTATTATATAAATAGTCGCATATATATATTTGTATATTATTTCATTTCTGGTGCAAA